TAGCTAATAAGTAGTCTAGAAAAGTGCAAATGATCTAGATGTTAAAACTTTGAACCAATTATTCTTATAATTAAGAAAAAATTTTCAATGCCTAAACCTCTGCTAGAAGAACTAGAAATAAGTATACTGACATTTTATTATTTTTGGCTATGCTTGGATTGTAGGTATAATGTTTTTTCCCCCTCCCCAAAGACTATATATTATTTCGAAATGAAAAAAGTATTTAATTTCAATAGCAAAGGTCACATAATTTACAGTGTAAGTTTTACTTGGCTTTAGAAATGAGATCTTATTAGCACCAGGAGGTTTGTTCCATGGCTTGGAGACCAGCCACACATGCTAGGGGAAAAGGGAGCTCAGATAGAGAAGGGAGCACCAAATAAAGGGTGTTGGGAGGATCCTCCCAGGATGGGAGAAGCGTGCTGAAAGTAGACTATAGACTGAACATAATTGCCACTCAATGCCTCTTTTGCAAACCACAGCACCCAAAAGGAGATAAAGAACAAAAAGGAATGCCCTGCCACAGAGGCAGGATGGGGTGGAAGGGATGAGGGGTGGGAGGGATACTGGGACCTGTGATGGTGGAAAATGGGCACTGGTGGAGGGATGGGTATTTGATCATTGTATAATTGAAACCCACGCACAAAAATTTGTAAGTCTACAACTGTACCTCATGGTGTTTCACTAATAAAAATTAAAAAAAAATTAAAATGCTACAATTAAAAAAATAAAATCTAAAATGAGAAAAAAATAAAAACAAAAATGTGAAAAAAAAAGAAATGCGATCTTAAACAAGGCATTTTACTATTCAGCTTCAAAGCCATCTTAAAACATGATATATTAGTGGTATTTGTTTCTCAGACTGAAACACTTTTGTTGTCTAATAGGTTGTCTTATTTTCCGAGTTCTCATGTTGGCTAAAAAAAAAGAGCTATATAAAATTCATAGGGCTCTCAAATATTTAAATAAATCTATTTATTTATGAATAGATTTATAAATAAATCTTCATTCACATAAATCTATATAAAGTTTTTTTTAAAAAAGAGTTTATTTAGAATTTAACTTTTCTGCAACCCCACTTAAGTTTAATTCACACATTTTTATCATTACTATTTGTTCTACTTTATGTTGTAGGATTTTTGGATAGCAGACATTGTGCTGAGATTTAGCTGTTTTGTGTAAGAAAAGTCTGCTGAAATGCCAAGTGAATTGTTCATGCTGAAATCCCACCTGAAGAGCATAAGGAGTAAGAATACTTAGGTCCATTAGGGAAAGAACTAAAATGGTTCTTATCTCTGAGTCCTTCAAATACCAGCCTCTTGTAAAGGTTGCCAGTAGGAATCAGCCATGACTCAAAGTAATGGAATGTTCAATTGATTGGCTGTGTGGTAGCTCTTAACTCAGTCCTTTCTCCCGCCTCTCCACCCCACCAGCCTCATTCTTTATCTTTTCTCGAAGTATTATAAATACCCATGTTGTTTAAACTCCAAAAGGCAGGACAAATGGCCTAATGCACAACTGTCAGGAGGTCATAGTATTTAAAATGAGGACTCTTAAGATTCAGTTTTTAGAATAATCGGCCTCACCCTAAAGATTCAAAAAAGAATTTTTTTTTTAATAATCCTACCCATAAACTAATGCTCAGATTTACAATTTTTTTTCTTCTTTGTTTGTTTGTTTGTTTGTTTTTTAGAGCTACAACTCAAAGAATTTCCCTTTCACTCTAGTTCTGGAGAAATAGTAACAGAAAACTGTCCACTAAGGTTTAAGCTTAACAAATGTTTGCTGAGTCACTTACATGCCAGTGGGGTCACTGCAACATGATCAGGGATCACTGGGGATTTGCTATTTTGGATAAATCTGGCTAATTGAATTGGCCTCATAGCTTCACATCGCACATTGATAACACTGGGTTTAAAAAAATTAAGGGGAAATTTTGAATGCAAAACAACACTTGACTCTTGTGCTTCAGGATCACTCCAGGTGATCACTCCAGGTGACCATCTGGAGTGCTGGTTTCAAACTGGGTTCGTCAGCATGCAAGGAGAGCACTATAATCCCTGTACTATCTTTCTGGCCCTGTTGCTGTTTTGAAAACACTTCATGGTCTCCCTCTGATCATTGATGAATGTGGGGAAAAGGGTTAGCTGAGCCTTACTGAAAAGGACCGTATTTTAAAAGACAGTACTGCTTCCAGAACTTTCTCTTTCTCATCTTTTTTTTTTTGGGGGGGGAGAGGGTGACACTCAGCTGTGCTGAGGGGTTACTCCTGGCTCTGCACTCAGGAATTACTCCTGGCGATGCTTGGGGGACCATATAGGATGCTGGGAATCGAACCCGGGTTGGCCGCGTGCAAGGCAAATGCCCGACCCGCTATGCTATCACTCCAGCCCCTCTCTTATCTTTTCTTCCATTAAAGAACATGATTATTAGGGAAGTTTCTCGCCAAACCACCAGGATAAGTCATCAACGCATCTGGATCCATAATCACCACATTTATCACCCGTGCCATCTATTTCATCTTTGTTCACTTTTCTGCAGGCAGAAATCTTATCTTTCCTGAAGATCTCACTAAACTTTCAAGATCACTTTTTACCATGCAGCCATTTTAGATCTGGTTCCCTGCATCAGTCGTGGACAATGTTAGAAAAAGCAGCTTATCCTTAGACCCTCCGGTTCCTTTTCTTCATTTGTCAGCTCCGTATTGAGCACTTGCTACTGTGTGTTATGCCTGGGAGATTCCGAGTGAAGAGAACAGACACTCAACTTTCTGCCTTCAAGAAAACGGCCTATCCTGCTTAACTCCTTTTGGGGCCTAGCAGATCCTCCTGGTTTACCTGGTGGCTTTAAGGACCAAGAGCTTTCTTCCCTCCAGTCAAAAGTCTAGCACAAAGATATAATAAGATAAAATAATTCCATTTCCTCTGAAAATTTAGCTACTCGGGATATTTCTTCTCAGGGGAGATTGTATCTTCACTGAAAAGAAAGCTTTAATCCAATGTAGTCTGTAATGATTCTTGTAATAGTAATTAGCGAGGGATTCCTATTCTCTAGAAAACCATTTTCCCTTCCTATCTCCCTATGCAGAACGGCCGGTAGGTCCTCTGATCACTGCATGCTGGGAGGAGAGAGCCTGCCTAGAATTCCAGAGAACTCTTCATGTGATTCAATGTCTTGCTGCATATGTAAATGTGTCAAGTTTTTTCTCTGCCATTTTATTTAAATATTTGAGAACCCTATAAGATATATGTACATGTTATGCTAATGTGTGTACATGTATTTATATTAGATATTATTATCATTATATATAATGATATAAAGAGAAGAAAATGGAAGTTTGTGGAGACAAGGAGAAAACTTGAGGACAAAGTCAGGAGTTGATAATCCTGAAAGAAGAATCACTGCTTAGTTATACATCATGAATGTGTTTTTAGTTATCTTTCAGCAGATACATAGAAAAATGACATGTTGGGAATATCTAATATGTTTTGTGAAAATACCTATTTTAAAAAGGATATTCAACTTATTTATAGTTTTGACTCTCTAAACTTGGGCAATTTCTGGCAACTAGAGTTTCTAAAATCCTTTTCTTGATTACATCTTAATGACCATGCCAATTGACCAATTGAGGGTTGGTTTAATTTCACTCTTTATTTTTTTAGCTTTGGAAAGTAGGCAGTCAGATAAACGTCAAATTACTAGATGAATTTAGCTCATTACATTTACCTCAAGGGAAAAGTTTGTTCTCTTTAGTAATCCAAGAGCCATGGTTAGAATATCATTATGATGACATAAAGCAAACCTTATTTTTTTTGTAATCAACTTAATCATAGATTGCTGGAATTAAAAGTTAGTAAACGGCTGTAAAATAAGATGAGTGAAGTTTTTGAAGAATGTTGACATTGAACTATTAGAGATACCTGTTTCAAAGGCTTAGACCCTATTTTTGTTTTACTTCTTTTTAACATCTTACATTTCTTGGGTTTCCTCATGGTCATTAGTCAGAAGTTCATCATGAGAAGTGAGAAAAAAAGTAGAATGCATGTATAGACAAATTCTTCCTGATAAGAATATATTTGTCTTTCAACAAGTTATTTGCCTATGCATATTTTTTTTGTTTTGATTGATGTGGGAAGGTGTGACAGTATAAATTAATCTCAGAGAGTGAATTCAGGCAACTGATTCATCAGCGGTGTACTCTCCTCTCTCTTTCTCTCTCTCTTCATTTCCTCTCTCTCTTTCCTTCCTTGCTCCCTCCTTTCTCTCCCCTCCTCTCTTCGTTCTCATTCTTTCTCTTTCTTTTTCTCTCTCTTTCTTCTTCCTTCCTTCCTTCCTTCCTTCCTTCCTTCCTTTCTTTCTTTCTTTCTTTCTTTCTTTCTTTCTTTCTTTCTTTCTTGTATAGTCCTGGGAAGTGTTTTTGCTTTTTGGGATTTTTCCCTCCCTCCCTCCCTTCCTTCCTTCCTTCCTTCCTTCCTTCCTTCCTTCCTTCCTTCCTTCCTTCTCTCCTCCCTTCCTTCCTTCCTTCCTTCCTTCCTTCCTTCCTTCCTTCCCTCCTTCCTTCCTTCCCTCCTTCCTTCCTTCCCTCCTTCCTTCCTTCCTTCACTCCTTCCTTCCTTCCCTCCTTCCTTCCTTCCTTCCCTCCTTCCTTCCTTCCCTCCCTCCCTCCTTCCTTCCTTCCTTCCTTCCTTCCTTCCTTCCTTCCTTCCTTCCTTCCTTTTTTCCTTCTTTTTTCCCCCCATCCAGAAATACTCAGGGCTTACTCCTGGCTCTACATCCAGGAATTATTCCTCCTAGTGCTCGGTGGACCATACGGGATGTTGGGAAATCAAACCTGGGTTGGTCATATGCAAGGCAAACACCCTACCTGCTATACTATCTCTCCAGCCCCTTTCATTTCTTTCTGTCTCATTTCTTCCCTTGAGAGAAATCTCATTTTAAAATAAATATAAATATCAATCACTTCAAAATTCATATCTAAATTAATAAAAAAAATTTCATACCTGTGGTTCTGATTCCAGGTTGATTTTGAAAGGATGGCCTTTTCCGTCTTCAGATACCTGTGGGGACCACAAGCGAGTTTCTGCCCTACAAATAAAATAAATTATAAATTACAAATTCTAATGGTATACTTTTAGTTTGAGAAAATTTCCTATAAATTATCAAATGACTTCCTATAATGTTCATGAAAGTACTACGAACCCTTGATAATTTAAGCAAGAATATTATTCCTGCCTTGTTATTCAATATTTTCTCATCTAATTAGTATTACATTTCAGGTGACCTGGGGGGAAATTTGAATGAACAGAAATAGTCAGGAGGATTGCTGTAGACTCAGTGTTTGTGTCCTGCTAAAATTTGTGTGTTGAAACCATAATCCCTAGTGGAATGATACTTGGAGGTGGGGTCTTTGGGAAGAGATTAGGGTTAGATTAGGTCAAGAGGCCCTTTTGATGGAATTAACACCCTTATAAAAAGAGAACAAGGCATGAGATCATGCACTAAGGAGGCTATGTGAGACACACCAGGAATTGGGCTTGTATTGCAACCTGAGCATACAGGCACTGAGATCTCAAATGTCTAATCTACATAGCTGTGAGAAAGAAACGTTTTGTTGGTGAAGTCCCTCCACCCCCAACACACACACACCGTATGGTATATTTATCATCACAGTCTGACTTAGGCAAATGCTTTATGCAGTTTCTGGAGCAGCCTGAATGCCAGGGCAATACTGGAGGGAGAGATTCTGGAGACAATCCCGGCAAATGACCGCAGGGCAAATTCCCTAGGTCTCTACTTCCATCCGTTCCTCTCCAGGCCATCACAGAAGACCACACTTTGCCAAGAGGATTTACTCTTGGCCTAAGGAAATGTGTTTTGTCCAAGGCATCTCATGTGTCTATTTGGGATTGTGAGGCTCCTAAGGGACCGTGTGCTTGTCAGGTTTTGCAGAGACAGGGAAAAATTTGATTCATTCCCTGAATCTGGACTACAGCAGAGAGCGTTGTAAATAAAATAGTCATAGGATTTACACAGTTATAGCTGTAACAGTAAGTCATTATTTTCACAGTCCATTTTTCTATCAGGGCTCTGCTAGCAAAGTATCTAAAACAGAAGAAGATAACTTCTGTCACTGGTTTGCTTAGAAATGTCTCATAGGGGTCAGAGAGATTGTATGGCAGGTAAACCTCTTGTATTCCTTGTGGCTGACCTGGGTTCAGTTCCTGGCATCACATATAGTCTCCAGGAGTGATAACTGAATGCAGAACCAAGAGTAAGGTCTGGGAACCATCAAGTGGGGCCAAAGAACCCAAAAAACTAAAGGCTTATTAATGAATATGTTCATGTTACATATACCCTCACACCTTAGGAAATTCTTCTGGGCTTAATCCTGTACAATGACATAGAGGAAATTAGCAACAATCAAATTTTTACATAAACATATTTTTGGAAAGTCAATCGATTCTGTTAAAAAAATCTTTGGTTTCCATTCTATACTGCATTTATAAAAACAGAATAATTATATGTGCTATGCACTAATGACATGGCTAATACTTTTCTTTTTCTTTATTTTTCTTTATTTTTGGAGGGGGCACATCAGGTGTGCTCAGGGATCACCCCTGGGTCTAAGTTCAGGGATCACTCTTGGCAGAAATCTGGGACCATGGGGGGAGGGGGGTGCAGGGAATTTAATCTGGATCAGCTGTGTACAATGTAAGATCTTTGCCCACTGGACTATCTCTGCCCCCAAGCCTATAATGGTTCTATTTTCACACTCAAATAACCTGGCTGGTACAGGGAAGACATTCTTTTAGTTTCTTACTGATATTCTTGAGAAATCTTTTTAGAAAGAGTTTAATAGCTACTAGTTTGACTGACTTCAGTGAGGAACAGACCAGAGTGAAAGAAAATTTGTATTTACCTAAATCACTAGAACCAACAGAACTGTAAACAAGAGACTCAAACTACAATAATTAAACTTATAAATAAATGTGCCTGTAAAACTGGATGGGTTGGGGGGATGGAAGGAGGGGACTGGGAGATTGGTGGCAGGATGCTGGCAATGGTGATAGAATTGGAGTCGGAACATTGAAGGCCTAAGTTCTATTGTTGACATGCTTCGTAAGTCATGTACCTAAATAATTTTCAAAGATTCAAAATTCTAGATCTTTCAACACTCCTTCTCACTGGAAAGATGTAACCATTTCTCGTTCAGGTTCAGGTTCTCTTGCAAAACGGATCAAATTCAAACACCATTAATTAAAGAGCACCTGTCAATTTTGAGACACAACTGGTGTGCTGCTGCTTTAATCCTGTCCTGTGCATCAGCATGAGTCATGGACTCGGTAGCAAAGCCATCAATCGCCAGGATGACATCCCCCGGACACAGGTTGGCAGCTGCCGCCTTGCTTCCTGGAGTAATCTGGAAGAAATCATAGCTCAGCTTAAAAAAAAAAAAAACAGAACTAAACTAAACATAATACCCTGTCACATCTTGCGCTGTGTGTCTGATATTTGTATTTAAGCTTCGCAACATTAAATAAACGTTTCACTGGGCAGCAAATCTTAAGTCTAACTTAAAATAACTCTGAATTGGCCCTGCATCCTCCCTCACTCCTTGAGGTCCCACTCTTTTTGAGAATTTTTGTTTCTTAATAGCCACATTTCATTTATCCGAAGCGATAGCACAGCGGTAGGGCGTTTGCCTTGCACGCAGCCAACACGGCCAACCCGAGTTCGATTCCTCCGCCTCCCTTGGAGAGCCCAGCAAGCTACGAGAGTATCTCGCCCGCATGGCAGAGCCTGGCAAGCTCCCCGTGACGTATTCGATATGCCAGACACGGTAACAACATTTTTTCTACTCCCCCCATTTTTTGAACTCTAATTGACACATTCTTAATACCGTCTAGGACTACCTGTTAGAATACTTCCTTTGCTTTAAACAAAATCATTAGTTTTTAATCTTATCTTAGTTGTTCTCCAGAGTTCTCCATTTGGAGCTTTCGTGTTTAACTATCAAACTGGATTGGCATTTAGATAAGGTAAGATCTTAAAATTTGCAAGAGAGGGTACCTGCAAAGCAGAGAGATGCATAGAGAACCGCCGCGGTATTATGAAAAGATAAACTAACATATACAAAATAAGAACTTTTCAGAACTTTTCAGAAACTCCCTGGAGAGCTGCAGTTTTAGTGCAACCAGCGAGTCTGCACTTGAAGAAAAGACAAAATCTAAGCGCGGCTTCCCTGTACCAGAGCATGGAGGAACACGGGGCCACTATCCTAGTGGTGAGGAAGAATTCAGCTCAACTTTTTGACCAATCTGTTACAGGCTGGATGTGAATTAGCACTGAGCCTCTAGAGCACCTGGGAACCACAGACATAGGAATACTTTTTTATCCATACATAGTCTCTTCTCTGAATTAAGAAGAGATTAGAGGGGCTGGAGCGATAGCACAGTGGGTAGGGCATTTCCCTTGTACGAGGCCAACCCAGGTTCGATTCCTAGCATCCCATATGTTCCCCTGAGCATTGCCAGGAGTAACCCCTGTGAATCTCTGGGTGTGACCCAAAAAGTAAAAAAAAAAAAAGAAAAAAATTAGATGGAACAAACAGAAAACAGTTAATACATATTTAATTAGAACTTATCACTAATGGCCTTAAATGCAAGTATTCTAAATAAACCATCTTGGTTTTGAATAGAGATAGCCAAAAATAGGAGGAAAATAATGAGGATTCAACTTTTGCTATCTGCAGGAAATCTCATTTAACTTTTTTGGAGGCGGGAAATAAAATGGGTAAATATGATTTTTTTTTACCAAATAACACATCTGAAATTATTTCCAAGTCAAATATTCAGTTAAACTGATGACCCTACTTATTCCCAGTTTTTCTTGATGAATCCTATTTACTCACCTAAATGGCAAATAACTCCTTCTCCAACACCATCTTATACCACTACTGTCTTCTTTCACTCATGGTGCTGTTGCTATTACCATTCGTTTTTAGTTTCTCTATTAAACCACATTAGAACTCTCCACAGGAATACACACACCATTATTTCTGCCCGAAAAGCTCCCATTCCATTTTACTCGATTGCTCTTTCTCACCCTTTAGGTTTGAGCTTAAATGTAATTTCTGTAAGATTCCCCCAAATGTCTGGCAGCATCTCCCCTGCACTATCTCTTTGGTTTGCACAGAGGGTAGGGCGTTTGCCTTGCACACGGCCAGCCCAGCCGACCCAAGTTCGATTCCTCTGCCCCTCTTGGAGAGCCTGGCAAGCTACCGAAAGTATCTCGCCAGCATGGCAAAGCCTGGCAAGCTCCCCGTGACATGTTCGATATGCCAAACACAGTAACAACAAGTCTCACAATGGAGTAATGACTGGGCCCACTCAAGCAAATCGATGAACAACGGGAGGACAGTGCTACAGTGCTACTATCTCCTTCCTCATGAAGGTGCCAGATAGAAATTACAAAGATGGATGCAAAGTGGGTTCACTAGCATTCACTATCATCCACCTTTCCAATTTCCCTTCTGACACAGCTGGTGACATGGCCTGCTGTTCCCAATTTAGTAAGAAATCACAGTTTGACTCTCCGATTCTGAGAAAGAAAGAAAGCTGGACTTTCTGTCCAACCTGTCTTAGAATTGTCATCACTGTATCACTGTCATCCCGTTGTTCATTGATTTACTCAAGTGATCGCGAGTAACATCTCTATTTGTCTCAGCCCTGAGATTTTAGCAGCCTCTCCTGACTCGTCTTTCCCAGCGATTGGAGTCTCTGTCAGGTTCAGGGGAATGAGACCTATCATTACTGTTTTTGGCATATCGAATACAATACAGATAGCTTGCCAGGCTCTGCCCATGCAAGAGGGATACTCTGGGTAGCTTGCCGGGCTCTCTGAGAGTTTTATATAAATTTTGTTGCCTAATGTCTGAACCCCATCAAATATGCTGTGGTAATGGAAAATGTCTTATGATGTGTCGCACGGCCGCGGGGTCCAGAAAGTGGCCTGGAGCGTAGTGGTGGTTGGGTAGAGGAGGTCGGCTGCCGGGGCTGGGTCCCTTGGGGCTAGGAGGGCTCTCACCCGCCCCGCTGTGGGGTGCCCCAAGTGAAAACAGCCTGACACAGAGTCCCAGAATTGTCATAGTGATCAAAATTATGATTAAGAGTTCTGCGAGTTGTAATGCTTGAGGTAATATAAAATGCTATTGGTTACTTCTGTGCTACAAACTTAGCAAATCTCATTATCTAAGTTCAGCAGACTACATATCTTTGTTTAAAATATTTTGGGACAAGATAAACATACCGACTTATCTTCCATACTGCCTAACCATAAGTAGAAAAAGGTAGGTTTTTCTTAATGAAGGCTGAGCATTATACAACTTAAATCTATTCAGTATATTGGACACAAGTAGATTAAGTGAAAATTTCAAAGCAACATATTAAGACATGCTCATTTATGTTTCGGTCCCAAGACCTCTAATCATTCGCTTTATCAACTGGAGCGATAGCACAGTGGATAGGGCGTTAGCCTTGCACGCGGCTGACCCAGGTTCGAATCTTCCGTCCCTCTCAGAGAGCCCGGCAAGCTACTGAGAGTATCCCACTCACATGGTAGAGCCTGGCAAGTCCCCATGGCGTATTCGTTATGCTGAAAACAGTAACAGTGGAGACGTTACTGGTGCCCGCTTGAGTAAATCGATGAACAGTGGAGGACAGTGCTACAGTGCTACACTTAAGTTTAAATTATTTTTAAAGAGTATTCAGGTCATAGAAAGGTGAAAAACGCATGGGTTTTGAAAAATTGTTGCTGGATAAAATGACAACTTCAAGATTATCTTAATTCCTAGAAGTCACACTGGGAATGGAAACTTTTGAAAAATTCTGGGTCTGGAAGAATATTTCCAATTAAGGATAAAGCTATTAAATGTTTTCTGAAGCAGAGACATTGTAATCCCTAGTCATCTTCAACCAGAGTTATCTACTATTTCTAGTAGAAAATAATCCTATAAATAGATGATCACAAAATAAAATAACTGCGGGTGGGTGGGGGGAAATACTGTGACAATAGTGGAGGGAAGTAGACTCTTGTGAAGGGTGTGGTAAGGGACTGTGTTTTGCCTGGAACTTTATTATTAACAGTATCGTAAACCATGGTACCTGAAATTAAAAAAATTTTAAATAGTATAATAATATATACTATATAATATATACTATATAATAATATATACTATATATACTAATATATACTATATAATATATTCCTAAAATGTTTATTATACTATATACTATTATATATAGTATAATAAACATTTTAGGGATGAGACTGAAGATCCAGGACATATGAGAATTTGATACTTTAGCAATTTAACCCATTGGGATGAATATTAGTTCTATCTTAAAGAACACAAATTTAAATAAAGTGATTAGGAGAAGGAAATAGAGAAAAAGTTAATTAATGAAAACCTCAAGTAAAACATTAGGAACTATCTGGTGTATCCTTAGATAGTTTGAGTTTTTTGGTTTGTTTGTTTTGGGGCCACATCTGGTGGTTTTCAGGGGTTACTCCTGAACAGGAATTATTCCTGTTGGTGCTCAGGGACCATATTGGATGTCGGAGATCTAACCCAAGTTGGCCGTGTGCAAAACAAGTGCCTTACCTGCTGTACTGTTGCTCCAACCCCAACAGTTTGTTTTAAATTATATCCTATAAATTATTCTCTAGTTATAAAGAAATTAGTACTTCTTGTTTTATAAACTATTATTAAAATATATTTTTAAAATTTATTTAATCAATGGTTAATTTCAAACACTGGAATAGTGTGGAACATTAGAAGTAAAATAATATTAATTCACAAATAAACATCTAAGTTCAAATTGTTTTCCAAAAGGAAATGTCATATCTGATATACACATGTGTCATATCTGTAGAGTGATATTCGGTCATGATTGATTGTCCAGATTTACATTTTAGATCTTGGTTGCATATGGATCCATTTTCACTTGAGCCTACGGGTCCTTTTGTACAATGTATATCAAAGGTTATTAAATATCAAATGGTTCAGGGGGTAAGGTGGGGAAGAAGACAAATAAAGAGAATACATTTTGAACTTTGGGGAAAAAAATCTTAGGTGCATTGTGGGAGTTTCTGTGCATGTAACTTCTCATTTAGAGATTAATTTCAAATTTGAAATTGATTTCAAATTTCAAAACGTTTTCATTTTAAATACAGTTACTATTCAACTAAAGGTCTACAAAACATGTTCTATATTGGTAGCTGAGTCCCTAGAGAATTTCTAATTACAATGACTTTGGTCATGGTCAAGCTCTGAATGGGAGGGTCTGAGGGAGGAAGAAAGGGAAAAGAAATTGAGTGATGAAGAACATGCTGGTGTTAGATGTATACAGTAAATCTACA